GCTAAGAAGTAAACAAAAGCTACCGGAAGGAGAGACTTCGTGAAGACATCCGTTGGTTGATCTGTAGAGGAGACGGAAACATGCTTCACAGTCTCATGTGCAACATGCTGTCGAATGAAGTGACAGTCAATCTCAATATGCTTGGTGCGCTCATGAAATGTATCATTATTAGACATCTTTATAGCACTCTGACTATCACAATGTAAAGCAGTAGACGACGACTGAGGTGCACCAAGATGAGCAAGTAGTCGACGTAATCATAATAGCTCGGAGGTGGAATCAACAAGAGCACGGTACTCAGACTCAGCATTCGATCTGGAAATTAAGGTTTGTTTCTTACTATGCCAAGAGACGAGTGAATCACCCAGAAAGAAGCATTACCCAGTAATGGAACGACAATCAGTAGGATCTCCAGCCCAATCTGCATCAGAATAGCCGCTAAGTGTCAAGGAAGAACAGGCCGAGAAGTGTAAATCATGCAATAGAGTGCCCTTCACATAGCGAAGAATGTGCAACACAGCAGAATGATGCGTGGTTCTCTAATACCATGTGAGAATGTGAGAAATAATATTTGATATATTATTCACAAAGATGAGTACACATATACATAGATGGGTTTTAGCCTAAGTTGAGCCTAAACCTAGCCTATAGTATTAGAATATACATTTTACATAACTAACATACTAATTTATTATATCATGATAATAAATATTAACTCGTGTCTACCGTGAGCATAAGTTATATAGTATGATATTTTATAGTTTTAAGTCATATTAACTCATGTCCACCGTGAACAGAAGTTATATAGTTGGATATTTCATAGTTTTAAATGACGATTATGAAAAAAAAATAAAAATGTCTAAACCGTTTCGTATTTACGGTAAAATATAACAACCAAACTTTATTCATCTTTCAGTTTAGTCTGGGTAAGCATTAAATAGTACAATATATACGCAAAAATACAATATAAATATAAATACATTGTAGAAAATGCAATGGGGGTGCTATAAGAACAACAATAGCTATTATTAAATTTAGGGGTGGTAATTAAATTTTAACCAAGTTTTTAAAGTTATTTAATTAGGTCCAACTTTTCTAAAAATGTTTGGCCACGGTCGCTTTTCACACACCATGATGACAGTATTAAGATCACACGACCACAAAATCTAACTTTAATCCAAAATCTGAGGACCTCCTTTCTCCATCACTAGGGACAATTATGATGTTAATTGATCTCATTTTATTTTTTATTTATTTATTTATTTATTTTTAGCTTCAAAACAAATTCAAGTGGGGCTAGCCGTTTGTTTTCTTTATACCTACACATAATTATTATGTCTCTAATTACTATTTTTTCACTTCATCTAATTTTGAATTATTAGTATATCCACTTCCTTTTTTTTATCCTTACAAAGGTGAAAAAGAAAAAACACAAATTTTTGCCCACGAAGATTGATAACATAAGTTCATGACCCGCGCGAGAAACCCGACCCGACTTTTGCATCTACAGTCTTTTCAATAATTTTCATCTCTTTAGTTCGGTCAAACAAAATTTTCTGAAGAAAATCAAATCCGAATCATGGTACCATCTAATGGTAACAAGATCATCGGACATACAAAATTATGCCATGGTCCATGTATTTAAAATGCCTTAGAGCATCTCTAATGCTCTAATGTTGTAGTAGAATAAATTTTGTCAAATATCAATAAATTAAATAGATTGTGAATCATGTATGAAAAATGTTAATTCTACAACTATGAAATTAAAATATTCTCTCCAATGCACAATATAGTATAACTACAATATTGTATACTTATCAAATATTAAAAATATTAAAAAAAAGAAATTAAATTAATTAAATAATTAGATTACTTATAATTGGTAAGAATATTTCTCTCTCTTTTTTCATTGGTTAGATAGAGTGTAGAATCTTAATGTGGATGAACCACATTCTTCTCTACATTATATACATTAATTATGTCCACATCATCACAACATTTGTGATCACATTGTATGAAGATGAAAAAATTGTGAATTTATTAAATGTGTTGATGTGGAATATAATTTACCACAACAATATTTGACCATTGGAAATGCTCTTATAAAATTTTCAAACATAGTATCTTCTAAGAGAGTACAAGAATCTGCACTTAAAATTAAAATGACTTACAAGATTTTCAAACATAGTATATCTTCTAAGAGAGTACAAGATTCTACACTGTCACATCCCAACCACAAGATACAACTGATAAGTGAGAGAATTTTAAAAATAGTCTAGTAACTTTGAAAATGTTAAAAAGAAAGTACTTTTATTAAAATTTAATTAATTAATTAATTAAAATCCTTAATTTTTGAAATTGATCAATTTTAAGACATTTTATGCCTGAATCAACTGAGACCCATGCTCATGGCGTGTCAATTTCTGTCAAAACTCAGAATTTCAGTTCATTACCTTTATACTATACAACTGGTAAATTTTCGACCTTGATATGACTTCAGATACAATTAAACAAGTTTTATCTTCAATAGCTACCAAAGGTGGCACAAAATTTAAGCCCGTGTAGCTACATGGACTTAAATTTTGATCTCTGAGT